ATCAAAATCAAAGGCAAGCTTTTTTCTTCCTTTTTTGCCTGCACTTTAGTCCCTCTCTAGTCTCCAACTTAAATCATAAGATTGTCATGACTTACAGTACACAAAATACTTCTGGTTCCCATGAAAAGCTATTTATTGTGTGTGTGTGTGTGTGTGTGTGTGTGTGTGTGCGTGTGCATCTATCTATATCTATATCTATCTATATCTCATCTGTCCACAGAACATTGTTCCAGTATCCTTCTGCTTAGCCATGTAGTCATTCTCATGTGGCATCGATGTTGTTTTTGGAAACTAGTGGTTTTCTCCTTGCAACCCTGCCATGTACACCATTTTGTTTAGTGCTATCCTGATGGTGGTCACGTGAACACTGACATTTCTCTGTGAAACTTAATAATATTTGGAGATATATAGATAGATATAGATATAGATAGATGCACACACACACACACACACACACACACACACACACACACACACAATAAATAGCTTTTCATGGGAACCAGAAGTATTTTGTGTACTGTAAGTCATGACAATCTTATGATTTAAGTTGGAGACTAGAGAGGGACTAAAGTGCAGGCAAAAAAGGAAGAAAAAAGCTTGCCTTTGATTTTGATTAGAGATTTTTAAAATCATACAAAACACTATAACAGTTGAAATATTAAAAAAGCTACCATCCCTCCCAGGTAAACCAGACTTGACTAGATGAGCTAATTCTATTTTATTACAAGGCTACATTAACAGAATCTGGCAAGTCTGAAGGTACAAATCCCGATCCTCTACCACTTTTAACTGCCGGATCAATTAGGGCAGGTCTTCCAAATGTTCTTTGGTCTTTGAAGAATTTGGTAAAATTGTTATAGCTGCAATAACAGAATCAATAACTGCCTTTGTGAATGCATCTTTAAAAGAGATCTAAAATAAGAGATCAAAGAGGAACTAAAAAAAAGCCGAAGGATCTGCAGAACAACTGGGTAGACAGGTGAAAAATAGTCAAGGTGGAAATTTGGAAATTGAGAAAGAGTCTTGTTTGAAACCCGGAGTATCTACAGAGCAACCTTGAGATTATTGTAAGGAGTTAGGCTTTGAAGCCATAGAATTTTTTTTTTAAGATGGGAGGAAGAAAATATAGATAGCGATCAGGTATAACAGTATTTCAATATCAAATTAACAATTAATAATCGCAGAAGAGTACTACAGAAGAGAAAGGAATACAAAATTGACTTGTTTAATTAGGGATAAGGTAATAAGCACATTTTTAAAATATTGATAACACTTTACGGACTTTTTATTGAAAATGGATAGAACACAATTAATGATTTTTGGATCTACCAATCAAAAAAGCATTGATCTCAGAAGAAATGTTCTATGAATGTCAAAGAGGAGGAGGAGCGGTTAAGTCTCTTGCTGAGAAGATCTCAGGGAATAACCTAAATATATTTTTGTGTACATGTTTACTATTTTTCTGCACTTTCTATTTTTTCTCTTGTCTTATTTTGTTTTATTTATTATTTTTAAAATCTTTAATACATTAATTTTAAAAACACAAAATAATTGTGCAATATTTCCCATGGGTTATTTCATGGGTTTTTCTTTACATTGGGGGTTTCCCTGCAAGGCAAGGTATTATTAATTGGAAATTACTATATTTTCAGTGTTCACGAAGCGTAGAATCAGAGTTAGAAGCAATTTCCTGACTCATGTAGTTCAATCTTCTTTGGAAACTTTTGAAACAGAATTATAGTTCTGATAATATGTCTGATAATTGCCTAGCTACCCCTTCTCAAAGGTTTTGTAATATGTATGATGTTTCAAGTACAGCAAGCTGTACACATACAGCTTGTATGTTGCAACCATATTTGTATGTTATATTTTCTTTTGAATTCTGGGCTCTGTTGTAGCAACCAGGATAGCCTCTTGCATGACATTATGACAGCATATTATGTAGCATGAGAACTAGCCTGAAGATAACTATAGGTACATCTGCAATGGTGTTTAGAACTAAATAAAACCATGAGTAATTTGATGGATTAAAAGTATGCTTTATTTTTTAATAAAAGAAGTAAGTAAGAATATGATTTGCTTAAATAATTTACATAACATACATATATAATTTATAAGTATAATCTTTATTGTCATTGTACTTAAATACAAAATTATTATATTTATAAACTTCTGGAGAAAGCACTTGGATATTTTAGTGTCCGTGTATATTCTCTGATAAATGGATAAATACATTGCTGTTGTCATAAATGGATCATTCCTGAAATAACTATTATGTATTATTCAGTCTTTTTCAAAGATTTGCATTTTTAAGATTCATTAACTTAGTGGAAGTCATTTAGATGTCTGTTTAATTCACTATTTGAAATCAGTTGTTTCTGCATATGCTAACTTTGTGGCTATCTAATAATGGTTTCAAAAATTTAATCATATAGTAATTGCAACAACACATAGAACTCTTATTAAATTCCTGGGTGAAAGACTTGGCAATGAAAGGAATTTTCCCTATTTTGAAAATAATTATACAAATATATTTACTTTTGGCCTTTAAAATCTTCACATTACAAAAAATTAAGGAAAGCTTGTTTTGAAATATATATGTATATATATTTTGCTGCATATTTCTTACACATACTTGAATTATCTCATGTCTCCTTTTGTATATATGTGTTTGTCTCCGCTCTTTCCGGCTGAGAGTTCCAAAGGAAATGTGAATGTAGACTTTCTTTTTATAGCATAAATGAACATGAAAAAGAACAAGTTATCAACATTGCTCAAATTAAGTTCAAACCTTTTATGATTTGTATTTCATGAAACAAACTAGAGGCAGTATTCTAGCTTTATATGAAGTGAATCTGATAATTTTCTACTTCAACATGTGGTTTACAAATAGAACTTAGTAGCAAACTGTAATAACTGCCATAATAGTACAGTTTATTTTTGTCCAGGTAGCCATTTTAAGTATATAGAACTGTTCAAATACAGTGAACGGTTTTTATAGATACGTAGTGTTACTTAGGTTTTTCTTTTCTTTTTAAACAACACTGCTTCCCGGAAGGAAATTGTGGCCTCTCAGCTCATTGTAATGAGTAATTGAAGAAGTGTTGCTTTAGTTTTAGGAACTTGTGCGGATTTCTCATGACACAGTCACAGTATTAACTCATGCTGAGCCTGCCTTGATGAATTTTTTAAACTTACATAGACTTTCAGTGATATGGAAGAACTGGATGTTTAATCAGGATCCTGAACATGTGTTCCAGGTAGATAATTCAAAAGAGAATGAAGACAATATCTTGCAGAGGGAAGTGCCTCTTCGACAATCTCGCCGGAGGTTTCGGAAGATTAATCAGAGAGGAGAACGTCAGACCATTACAGATAATGTGGATGTTAGTAGCTACCTTTCCGTGAGTGTATTTCCTCTACTGTTAATTATTTACCGACCTGTATTCATCACTCACTGTGTTTGATTTTCTGTTGGAACAAATGAAGAGATATATAAAATTACATAAAATTAGAATCATAAAATGTTAGTTAATCTTTCAAAGCAGCTTAGGTCTCTCAGATTCATTCGAATGCTCTATAAAGTCTAAAGATCAACATTGCGGCAATTTAGTACTTTTGGACAATGAGAGCTTTTACATTGAAATGTGTTTAAAAATATTTTGTGGAAGTTTAGCTACCATGAAGAAAATTCATGCTGAGCCTGGTAAGTCATTTTTTTGTGTCCAATGAGCTATAATTTCAATTTAATAGTGTATTTCTTTTTGTCCTAGTTTGTAATGTCTTTCAGCATCATAGAAAAACAATAACTTCTGACAAATCAAATTGTAATGAATTTTCAAGATTGTTTACCTTCCATCAGCTTAACTCAGAGACCCAAAAGCTAGTTTTAAAATTGCTCAGATTGATCAGGAATGAAATTAGACAAATTTTTATAAAAACAATTTTTAAAAATGTTAAAACTTACTTAAAAACAGATGAGAAATTGAAACTGCCTTCTCTTCCAAACCACCCATCCCCTTTCTTGGACTGAGATGAATTCTCAAGTTGTTCTAGGGATTGATTTATAGAATAAGAAAGCACTTACTTTTAGTCTTTTTTTGCAGATATTAGAAGTTTGCTGATTGTTCATGTTTCAAAAATAACATTTCATGGGGGAGGTATTTTTAATGTGCATTTTTATCCCTATAATGCATAGAATATTTCTTCATAAATGTACCTTATTTTAATGATCATTGATCATTAAAAGATATATTGAAGGTGATGCACATTTATTCAGTTATTTGTATATTATATTTCAGTCTTTTATCAGTAGCTGATCATTCCTTTTTTACTTGTATATGATTATATTTATACTCCTCATTTCTTCTAATATATGCCCTCCACCATTTTGGGTTGTTGGGCACTTGTTGCATTTGGAGAATATGTCCTGAGTGCTCTGCTGATACACCTTGCTTGTTTACAAAAAAGATATTTTCAAACAAAGTGCTGTTTAACCCGTCAATCCTTTTCTAAAGAGAAGCCATAGGGCTACTTTAAAGCCTAGAAGAATTTTCAGAAGTGGGGTGTTGCTGGTTATTGGTTCTTTGCTTTGCAGTATTCCAGCTTCTAAAAGGGAGAAGATTTCGAAGTACACATAAACTAAGAAACATAAGGATTGTTCAACCATTGCAAGAGAATTCCAGAATTTTAGAGTTTATCCCAGAAGCATCCTTCCTTTATTAGATAGCATACATATTCTAATAAAGGCACCTCTATCATACATGCAAAAACAGTTTTGAAAATTATCTTGTTCCCTTTAAAACTGCTTTCTTAAATTTAAGTCCTTAAATTTCAACTTTGTTCAAGGATCAAAGGAACTGAAAGGATATAAATATATTTTTTCTCAGGCTTCCCAGAGTTCTTGCACATTGGAGTGGAATATAAATACTATTAAGCAAATGAATAAAAACTCATTTCTTCCAGATACGTTGGAATTGATGTTAACCAAATTCCCAGTGACTAGCAGTACTAAACTCTATTAAACCTTCTAGGTTAGATAAAGCTTCTTTAGACTATATAGCTGATATATATATATATCACATACTAATATCTTTATGTACCAATTAATATATTAAATCAGATACGTATAACACACTAAGCTAATTTCAAATAAATTATTACTTTAGAATCATATCCGTCCATGCATTCATCCATCCAAACTACAACTGTTAGTTTCTTAATGATCATTTATTTTAAAAACAGTAGAAGATGAGATGTTTTAAAAATGTTTTAATATATTAAGATATAAATGTACTAAGATTTTTTTCCTTGAATGCATTTGATATTTTGAATGTGTTTTCTCAATAGCCTTTTATGCAGAAATAGCTTTTTGCTGTTGGTTGTTCTTTTTCTTCATTTCAGTTGACCTATTCTCAGCTTTATTGTTAAAAAAAATAGCTGTTTTTAACTCACCATCTATTTTTGAAAAAAAACATGAGAAAGGAAAAAAATAATGTTCTTTTTGTTTTGCTTCCAAAATCTTTTTGGGTCATCTCATGTTCTTGCTCATCTCACCTGAGCTCAACATGTAATTAAAAGGACTTCGGTTGTATACCAATTCAGGCTTTTATTTGTGGTTTGTGATAATGTTGCATTAAAATGACATTCACATTTGTTTACAAAAGAAAGATATAACTGTTATCAAGAAATTTCCCAAGCAGCATAAAAATGGTTATTTACTTTAGTATGCCATCTCTAAAAATTCCAGTTGTTGTTACCTAAGTGCTTATAAGGAAAAAAGTGTTTGTTTTGACTTATATATTACAAAACATTACATGGGAATGCTGCAAAATTATGTGGTTGAGTATTTTCTATTGATTGAGCAGAGTGGGCAGATCCCTTCCATTTTTTTTTAAACATGCTTGCTGGTTTAACATCATATGTGGAGAGCTGATAGTCCTGTCTGTCATGGTGTTAACTGATGTTGTCATCTGTTTACAGGAAGCTGCTTTTCTAGTTGAATGCCAGATTACTGATTCTAAAGCAATATATCAGATATTTTTAAAAAAGCAGTTTAAGAATAGGCATTTCATTGACAAGTTAATAAGCAATTCTGTTTCCTTTTAGCAGTTTATTTCTGAAAGAAACAAGTATCATGAAATCATTTTAAAGAAGTTGGGTATTTGTTACTAGAACAGAAGAGACCAATCTGTATCACACTTAAACTAGTCATGAAAGAGCAATTGCATGCCCCCTTTTTATTATTGGAGGTATCGTGATTTCATCCATTTTAATATGTGACTAATGTTACTCAAATATATTTTAGTTCATTGCCTCATTAAAAAAACTCTCTACATTCTTAATGCATATATACATTCCAGTGACGTGTGGTGAGGTTTATGGCTGGTGAGGCACTGACACAGTGGTGGGTTTCAAATTTTTTTAGACTTGT